AATAACAAATGCTGCAGGAGTTGTGGAGAGAAAGGAACTCTTCTCCACCGCTGGTGGGAGGAGACTGGTGAAACCAGTGTGGAAATCAGTGATTCAAAGAAAACTAAGACTAGAGATTCAGTCTGGCCCAGCCATTCCTGTCCTGGGTATCCCAAAAGAATTAAAAGTACCATACCATGGCGATGCATGCACACCTCCATAGCAGCACAGTTTGTAACAGCTAAATCTTGGGAACAGCCCAAATGCCCATCAACTGGTGAATGAAAAAAGATGTGGGGATATATATATGAAAGATATGCTCAAGACATTTTCTAGGTAAATGGATGCACCTTGAACCCACACTCGTAAGTGAAATAAATCAGACATGCGTGTTGTGAACACACTATTGTTTTTCTGGTGTGAGAGACTGAAGGTGTAAATAAAGACCAAAAAGTGTAATAGGTACTGTGAAATAAGAAAAAATGTTCAGATGGGGAGGGGAACAAAGGGGAGGGGAGGAAAAAGCTTTAAAACATGAGAAACGAAAAGATGGAAACAAGGCTTTTTTAAATGCAGAGGGAAGGAGGGGCTGAAGCAAGGGGAGAGGAATGGATAAAAAAAAAAGTTATACCATGTACAGGTACAAATTCTCTACAACAAATGTGATCACGATGTATACCTAAAAAAGTCCTTGACAGAACACAAGCGACTAACAACACATAAAAAGGATTCTAGTCCACGGGCTAGAGCTCTCGGTTCAAGAATCAGCACCTGACCACTAAGGGAGGGAAAGGGGAAGGGGAGAGGAGAGATGGAGGGAGGGGATTATACTTTCTAAGCAAGTGGAACTAATTCCAGGAATTCCAAGTTGTCTTAGGAAACGTATAAGTCAATATAACACACTACATTAGTAAAGTGAACAAAACTTATAATCATTTTAAGCAGTATATAAAAATATATAACATAGCCTGGCATGGTGGCACACACTTGTAATCCCAGCCCTGGAGAGGCTGAGGCAGGAGGATCACCACAAGTTCAAGGCCAACCTCGGATACATAGTGAGACTGGTCTCAAAAAAAAAAAAAAAAAAAACATCGTTACAACAAACTATGTAATTAAGATTGTACCATGCCCGGGACAGACCTCCGCGGCACACCCCTGCCTGGCAAGCATGTGGTCATGAGTTCAATTCCCAGTACAAAAAAGTTTGTACACTACTGGCGTAAGGCCAGTACAGAGCAGCAGCTAGACCTGCAAGTCCAAAGTAAAATCACCCTGATGGGTAATTAATTGATAAAGCCCTTCGGAAAACAGTGCAGCAGCACGTCAATTGATTAAACAGAGAACCTACACTTTGCCCAGCGACTGCTCTTGGGTGTGTGCTCAGGAGAAAAGTGCGTCCCCACAAGGCCCGTACACAGTGTTCTCCACAACCCTCTCAGAGTAGCCAAAAGCCCAAGCGTGTCGTGTGCGTGCCCGGAGCAGGAAGCAGCAGGCCCCCGAGCTCCAGGCCAGGCGCGGACGGCCATCCGCCAAGGTGACCAAAAGCTATCATGCCTAAACCCCAGCTCTCTGGAACCCATGAGTCCGAGGCCAGCCGGGATCCCCAGTGCGACCCTGTCGCTAACACCCCCAAAACAGCCAGTCACATTGGTGAGCTGCATTTTATCCAATGTCCAAATTAGAAAATCTACAGATACTGAAA